AAAAAAAAAAAAAAAAAATCTTTTTTTTTTTTCTTTTCTTTTTTCAGAGGCGGCGTTGTGAAAGAAAAACAAACATACACACACCTCTTTGCCTAGCCACGCCTTATAGATGTTTCTCCGCATGTTTCCAGTTCACCACATTCCAGAAGGTCTGCACATACGCGGCGCGGTCGTTCTTATAGTCAATGTAGTATGCATGTTCCCACACATCGCAGGCGATCAGTGGCTTCAAGTGTGGCTCCGTGAGTGGACAGCCGGCATCGTGTGTTTGATAGACCTTCAACTTCCCCGATGCGGTGTCTTTTACGAGCCACGCCCAGCCGGAGCCGAAGTGCCCCACCGCCGCGTTTGTGAATTCCTCCTTGAACTTTGCAAAGCTGCCAAAGGAGGCGTTGATCTCCTCTGCGAGTTTTCCCTTCGGCTCACCACCGCCGTTGGGGCACATGCTTTCCCAGTAGAATGTGTGATTGAAGATCTGCGCGGCGAGGTTAAACACGGGGCCTTTCTCTGTTTTGATGATCTCCTCCACTGACTTGGCGGCGAGTGCGGCGTTTGACTGCGCGGCGGCGTTGAGCTTCGTGACGTATCCCTGATGGTGTTTATCGTAGTGGAATGTTACCTGTTCCTTTGAGATGCCTTTGCTGGCAAGTCCATCATAACCCCAGGGAAGTGGTGGAATGCTGAACGTCATCTTTTTTTTTTCTTTTTTTTTTTGCTCTTTGAGTTCTTTGTTTTTTTTCTGTTTTTTTTTTCTTTTTGGGGGGTTTTTCTTGTTTTTTTTTTTTTTTGGCTTTTATTTGCTCTCTAGTAGCAGCGAGAACGTTGAAACCCGTATGGTAAAGTATAGGAGATGGGAGAAGAGAGGGAATGCCATAACGAAAAAAAGAGAGAAGAGTATCAGTTTAAGTATACAAGAAACGGTATATACAGAGGGAAAAAAAAGCAAATACAAATATACAGTATAATGGGGAAAGCAAAAATAAATATGTAAAAAACAAAAACACAGCAATATCTCCCATGTAGAAAAATATGTATTCATAACTCACATCTCATGTCTCTTTCTCTCTCTCTCTATCTCCCTCTCATGATGTCTCTATGAATATCTCTCTACAGGATGCACATGTCGCTAATGCATAACCCAGTGCTCGCCCACTGCACGTCACTCACACTCTTTTTTTTTTCTTTTTCTTTCTTTCTGTAACGTCATTATCAAGAGCTGCACATGGTATGATAATGAATACGCAATACGGATTTATAATTAGTGGCACTGTTGCTTAATAGAGTTCTCCAGTTCTTCAAGTGTACAGCTAGGAGAGAGTTTAACACATGGAATACCTTGGCGATTACAAACAAATTTTGTGAAATTCCACCGTATAGGACCAAGTGATGTCTGTAGCATCTGAAATAAAGGATCTGCATTTGGTCCCTTTACTTTAATCTTATCAAACACTGGAAAGTTAATTTGCATTTTCTCCGCCCATTGAAGTATCTCTTCATTACTTTTTGGCTCCTGATTCGCAAACTGGGCACAGGGAAACGCCAATACGGTCATTCCACGTGAGGCATACTTCTCCTGTACGTGAATTAACTGCTGTAGATTGGCAGAGGTGAAACTGCAGAGTGATGCTGTGTTCACTATCACGGTTACACTACCCGTGTATTTAGAGAGGGCTACCGTCTTCCCAGCCAAGAGCGCGGAGTAGGCGAACACGGTGTTGCTGCTCATTGCCCACTCCTACCCTCTTTTAATTATTGTCTCCAACCAAAAAGTGAAATATGTGTGTGTGTGTGAGAGAGAGAGAGAGAGAGAGAGAGAGAGAGAGAAAGAAAGAGAGTCAGACACAAAAATATATATTACAAACATATACTTTATACACAGGAATGCTTACTCCCCCTATTTCTCTCCTTATCACCACACACACACTCTCTCTCTTTCTTTTTCTTTTTTTCTTCTGATCCACCATTGCAGGATAGTTCAAAGGAAAAATAGAGAGAGGTTGAAAAAGGAGTCTAGATTACGCTGACAGTCCTCAGACGAACCTCAAGCACTCCACATCTCTCCATGCAAAAACAAAACAATATAAAAAAAAAAAAAACAGAGGGGAAAGAGAGAAACAAAGAAACAGCGCTAGTGACCAACTCCTATCAAAGGCAATATCAACTCCATCAAGAGAACATCTGAACGAGAATAAAAGAAGAAACAGTAGTTCCCACGCCATGTGTAAGAAGGAAGAGGGTGTAAAAGAAGAAGAGAAGACTAACTAACAAAAGACATAATAGCAGGGGTAAAGATTACACCCTTTCACACAAGAAGCTCATAATCTTCTCACTTCTTTCCACTTGACTGTGTACCGGACGCATGGTACTTATCCACGGCTCTCTTAACAGCTTCTGTAAAGGCAGATATCCGTATAGGTTGACCAATACCACCCTCATCAACAATATGAAATGGATTTTTCATCACATAAGCCACATATAAAGTATGTAATTCACGAAAGAGTGCATCACATTCACGTGTACGGCTATCGGATACTAATACAAATTTCACAAGTGTTGGTGTCTCATAAATGTGAATATTATGTTCATCAAGTTCTACGAGGCACATTCCTGCACTGTCAACAGGATTGGCATTTGGTGTAATCTCCTGAGACATACCATATGTGGAGAAGAGAATACTAGACATGGTGAGTTGTAAATCTGGTTTGGCCCCAAGTTCTCCAATATTCTCCGGAGCAGTGAAACTGGCCTTTGCAATAAGTTGACCTGATTGATTAATAATCCAAAGAAGATGGACTGTCATGTCTCTATCTATCAATCAATCAATCTATTCGTACGTATACCTCTGTAAGTATATGCCTTTTTTCTTCGCAACCCCCTTTCTTTTCCTGTTGTTGTTGTTGTTGTTTTGTCTTTCCTACTTCTTTTCCCTTGTCCTTTTTTTTTTTGTGCGTGTGTGTTATATGGGCACTGCGTTTCCTTTCTTCTTGCCTCAAAGGACTGCACGAAAAGAGAAAAAAAGAAAAATAACAAGAAATTATAATAATAACAAAACCAAAAAACGTATAGTTTAAAAATAAAAGAAACGAACCCCTACAAATAATTCCAAAAAATAAAAAATAAAAAAAACGGCATTTACAAGAACAATAAAGTAAAGATAAATACACTAATCGAGGGTTAATTTAACCCCCTATTTAAAAAGATGCATTGTTATTTTATTTATTTATTTTTTTTTTTTTTCTTATTATCATTCGATTACACGTGTTCGGTTTTACTTCTTCTTTATAATTGTTTCCTTAAGAATGAATGCATGAATAAAAAAGAAAAAAAAAAAAAACATAAGGAAACAAGAAAAATAAAATGTATATCAGACACACACACAGAGAGAAATAATAATAAAAAAAAGAGAAAACGATTTAGTTCCACTGAGGAAGTTTATCATCACGTACAGCCTCCACTTTAGAGGGCATAGTGGTGTACATCATATCATCTAAAGCAGCCGCAACAGTAGACTCCAACACGGCGTGTGTAGTGGCGGTTGCCCATACGTGTAGTGTGATCTCATTTGCCCGCGTGGACTCATTTTCTTCTTCACTTTCCCACAAATCCCCTTCTTCCAATGTGAGACAGTGTGAGTGGATATCGAGTGTTAACACGCCCCGTGCGTGTGGACGACTCGCCAACCATACTTCTCCCTCTGCCCATAAGAGTACACCATCGCATTGTGTTTGTGTGGAATTCTCTTCTTCTTTTTCTTCTTGGAAGTTGCGGCATCCCAACAACTGCATACCTCCTTCTTTTAATAAGAGTGCGAGTCGTGAAGCCACTATTGGGCAGCCCACACGTCTAACTGAGATTTCACGCAATGTCGCCTCATTCGATATTTCTTCTTCCTGCGGGAATTCAATCGAACGCCGCGCCATTACACCGGCGTGGAGTGCGAGATCTGCGTTGAGAGAACTGGCAAGGCGGAGTACTCCCCACAGTGACGGGCTGAAGTTTTCCACTCTGTGATCCACGGTGACGAGTACATCTGATAACATCACTGCATACACAAATGCCGCTCTTGCCGCCACTGCGGTGGGATGATTCTCCCGCACTATCATCTCACTAACGTCTGGGAAGAGAAGTGTGACCAGGCGTGGTCGTGCCTCCCGCTCAGACCAATACGTTAACTCCTCCTCTGAAAAGAGACTCACATCCACATCAGGGGAAAGACAAAGCACCAGCATTCTAGCACCATCCCGCATTGTTTCCACAGCCGCTCGCTCAATCTCCACACGGGATGTAGACTCGTTTACACTCACCACACGATCTGTGATGTACTCCCGCACCAGACGCATGGTTTCTCCCTTCACATCACCCGGGGCACACACTACCATCATTTCCAATCCTTCTAGTGACGGCAGTGCGGTGGATGGGCCTCCGACATCCATGACAGTTTCACCAAATACACCAAATCCTTTTAATGGTATATACAGAGTAGCATCATATGCACGACGCACACCACGTTGTAAATCCACAAGTACTTCTCGTTCTGCCTCTGTTTGTAAAACAGACATTGCTTTATTAAATCCAAACCAGTCATAAGGTTCTCCAGGATTTTCATCATCTTCTACCGTATCAGGTGCTCCACCTGATGGTGGACTAACAGCTAATGCAATGTAAATAGTTACACAGAGAACTTTTCCATCAGGTCCATTCTTATCATAGTAACAGACTGGTGAAAAGAAATTTGGTATGTAAAAGTTATCAGGACTGATATCACACCGTTCACAAAGAGCCCGAACTGCACATTGCATACACGATTCTTCTGCATCACTATGCATAAGGAATGGTAAACGCATCCCATCAAATTCTCCATCAAGACTACGCACAAGTACACATTTACGTCCTCTAATAAGAAGTGCTCCATAAGCATGAGCTATAGAAGATACATTGTATAAAGGTACCTCTTTCATTGGGCAAATAGTCATGGATCGTCTTTCCTGCATCTTTGTGAGAGGTGTCACTTTCAATACCTCCAATGTAGTAGATCCAGAATCATCTCGATTTAGACGAGACTCCACGTGAAGGGCCACTCCTTTTGTTATTTTTTGTTTTCCCATCGTTGTATCATTCATCTTTATAGCTTCATGAAGTCCATGTATTATCACTCGTCCCTCTGTTGTACCTAAAATAGTCCCTTCAGTATCCATAAGGCGACCCTCTACAATCACATTTGTTGGGTGACTGCAATGCTGTAATGTTGTGAGTCCAAATACAGTTTCTCCAACCTCATCTTCATGAGATTCATGTGAATCACAACAGGATTCTCCGTCATGATCACCTTTACACTTCCTCCTTGTTGTTTCTCCCTCATGGTCTTCTTTCTCTACATCTGAATGGCTCTCTGTATCATTATCCTCATATTCATCATTTTCATCATCATCATCATCATTTTCATCACATCCTGTTGTAGTCAGAGGACTCAGTGTAACGTATTGCTCTGTTTTTTTCGTAGCTTTACTTAAGACAAAATCAATACGAAACACACGCGGTGTCTTATAGTGTGTTTGCAGGTTTACTTCCGTACCATCTGCGGTAATACCGACCTCTCTCGCCACGGCCTCAAACAGCGATGGTTGTAGATTAGTAGATATACTCCACGAGTCCAACCAAGAGGTAGTGTTGGCAGTCTCTTGTAACCAATCCTTCCATCGCTGCAGTTGTGAAGTATCGGAGAGCATCACCATCAGCTGCAGTTTTGGATATGACTGTGAATCTGCCGTTGTTGTTGTTGTTGATGATATGTCTGGCCGCACAAGTTGTTTCAGTGCATCTAGAGACGGTGGACAAACCAGCAGCAGTCGCCGCACGAGACGATCGCTGTGTCCATGTCGCTTCTCCCCTGCAATGGCGTACTTCAGTGCGATTGGTGCCGACACACCGGCGGCAATCATCGTGGCGTTGTGTGGATTGAGCCGCGCTATTGTATTCGCCACCCGCCGCACCACTGGACCCACACAATTCACATTCTTACTACTATTACTACTATTCACATCCCCACCATTATTGTGATTCGTCTGCTGGTGAATGGGATGACCGCCGACGGTGTTTTCCTCCCGCATGGCGGCCTCTGGGAGTTGTGTGGTGTCGACGACGTAAACGGCCGCTGTGGTGTTTGGCCGGCAGCGGAAGACGACGGCGGCGAACGGGGCCCACTGGGCGCACGGGTGCTGCGGGCCGCCGGCACTGGCGCGGGTCTTGAGGACAATCAGCGGCTCCTCCGGGGCGAAGACGACGCGGTAGGCGGGGCGGCTGTTGGCGAAGGCGTAGACCCGCACGGAGGCATCGCCGGCCGTCCCCACCACGTGATCGCGATGATGCTGTTTGTCTGCCCGGCTCATTACTGCGTGTGTGTGTGTATATATTCTTTTTTTTCTTTTCTTTTCACTTTTGTTACGTTATGTGTGTTTTCTTTCTTTTTCTTTATGTAGACTTCTTTTACTTCACGTTTCTGTTTGGAATGTGTGGATTCCTATCACCGTCTTCTGTCCACGAATGGAAGTAATGTGTAGACGAGTGAAATACCGGAAAAGGCTATAATGAATATATATATATTTGCGTTTAGTAACAGTATTTGAAAAGAAAAGGGAATAAAGAAAGGCATAGAGCATTACGGTGGAGGGAAACCCCAAAAAAAAAATAATAATAATTAACTACAAATCATCCACAATAATAAAGATAATAAGAAGAATAACAATAAAACAAAAAGAACAGAGTAAAAAAAAATGAAGGAAAGGAAGAAAAAACTGAAAAAACAAGTGATACAATATTAGGAATGGACTACCCACTCTCTCCCATTATAAGACTAATTCTCAAAATATTATTATTTACCGTCAATTATTGCTTCCTGCAATAACGCACATCTTCGCTCGCACTACATATATATATACAAATAGGAGAAAACCTCATATGGCCATTTCCAAGAAGAAAAAAAACACAGTACCTCAACTGTCTCCAGACATAGAAACAGAAAGATAGCATTGAACATATATAAAGACATATATATATATATATATATATCAGGTGGTACTTTACTACTTCCTTCTGTACTCCCATAAACACACAGAAAACGTATTAATCTCTTTCTCTATTTCTCTGCGTTCTACGAATTGATGGGGTTAAGACTGCCAGTAGTAGTAATAGTAGTAGAAGTACAATACCTGAAAAAAAAAAATACTAAAAAAAAACATATATATACAGGTATATAGGTATATATATATATATATAGGACTCCAAAAAGTATTGATCTGACTTATTGGCATGCCTATAATGTCGCTCTCATTCGCTCTCATTCGCTTTCTCTCGCTCTCATTCGCTCTCATCTTTTATTCCCCACTCCTTTTTTTTTTCCTTTATTTTTTTCCTTTTTTTCTGTTCTTGTTACGACTTCCCCCATTCAATCCTTCTTTATTTTCCTTCTTTTTCCTTTTTTTTACCCGATCACTGTGCTGTAAATGGTTGCGATGGTGCCAAACACAATACCAATCACTCCGGCAATCAAGAGCAGGTGTGTAAAGACATAATCAAACCAGCCCACCGACCGCAGGGTCCACCCACCGGAGTAGAGATAGAACAGCGCGGGGAACACAAAGGAGAGAAAACCACCGCAGATGGCCCCCACAAACCCAAACACCGTATTGATATTGGGAATGAACAGCCCACACAGCAACACCACGGTGGACAGTAAAATCACCGCAATGAAGTGTTTCCAGTACGGGAGGGTCGCCACCTCCCAGCGAATGACGTGGTAAATCGCGTTACGGCACGCCATTGTCTGCAGGGCGTAGGAAACACACAACTTCACCAATATGCCAACATACGCCACCATCACCATCGGCTCCGCTACTGGATTGTACATGAGGAGAATGGAACCCTTCAACTTGCTGCCAAACTCAATGTATCCAAAGAAGACAGTGAAGATGTATAAAGCACAGCACAAGATCATGGCAACCGCGGAAGATAATGTAAACCTTTTAATGGAACGATCTGTCATTTCCCAATAAACTTCAAAGCAATTGATTTGACAGACGAAGGCGAACATAAACACACCAAGACCTCCCACAGCGTCATTACCCGTATTCACCAGCTTTATGGTCTCACCATCGATATGATGAAGATTCTCCAGTCCATTTAAAGAGGAATGAATGACAATCATCACCACAAAATAAACCACAAAAATAATAGCAATGGTGGAAACGTAGCGTAAACTGTTCACTTGTTTGGGAAGCACCAAGGGAAGCATAAGGACAAGCCACGTTAAACTTGTCAAGAGGCGTCGTCCGGATTTCGTTTTCAAATACTCAGGAGTTCCCGATGCATTCAACAGAATAGGCTGAAGAATATCACCAACACTGATGATGTATGCAATGGTTGTGCCAAAAGAGTTAATCCATCGAATAAAGGCAACAAAGTAATCAAAACGACTTCCGATTAAATACTTAGCCATGGATTCAAATGAGCGGATTCCTGTCTTTTCCATTGTTTTACAGAGAATATAGAGAGAAAACACGGCGAAACAGGAGATCACCAAAAGGTACATAATGGCCATTAACAAACCACTGCTGTTTGCTGCGGCTGGTAATCCAAGAATACCCGCACCCACACACACAGAAGCCAAATTAAACACACTAGACACAAATCCACCATACGGCACAATACGGCCAAATACATCTTTTACTCGTTGTAAACATGTTGGAGGATTTTTCGATTCGGGAGAACGATTGGAGCGGAGGAATTCTGCATTGTCATCGGATACAGATGGAGAATGATCGTCCTTATTTGGTGGTATATTATTCAGTTCAACTTCAATAATATTGAGATTTTTCGTATTTGGGTTTTCCTCTTCCCGGGGATATTCCATTCTAAGAAATACCTTCGATGAACTTCTGATTGTTCTTGTTGCTACTGCTATTGATATAGTAGTAGTAGTAGTGTCTTGTTTTCGAGGCAGGCTTATACTTGATATAGGTGTTAACACTCTTTCACACACGCACTGATGAAGGGTGGGTGAGGGAAATATATATATAATATATATACAAATAGAAGAAATCAAAAAACTAAAAAGAAAAGAAAACTGACTTGTCTTTTTTTCTTTCTTTCTTTTGCTTTTAGTTTGATGATTCTGTTCCTTTTCTGTCTTTGTTTTTTGCTCCTTTTACCTTTTTTTCGTTTTTTTTTTTTTCTTTGGTTCTTGTTCACCGCTCCTTCACCTGCTTGATTCGGATTAGAGTGTGTGTGGATTTGTGTTAGTGTTTTTTTTTTTTGTTGTTGTTGTTTTTCTTTCTTGGTTTGCTGACTTATTTTTTTCTCTATTTTCTTTTTTTAGCTTTGGTTCCTACTCCTATTGTGTTTGAGTTTGCTTTCTGGGCTTTAAAGTTAAAACAATAGTTCGAAACCTTTTTCTTTCTTTTTTTTCTTTTTTTTTTTGTGTGTGTGTTACAGGAAAAAAAAAAACCTCCTATGTTTGGCTTGGCAGTTCTTCAGGAAAGGAAAAGAAAAGAAAAGAGGGAAATAATAATAATCATCATCATCATAATAATAAAATATCCGTAAGAGCATTAACATCACATAACAATGAGAGAACCCACCCCTTTTATCTTCTATATATATATATAGAAGTAAACTGCAATTAGTCTTCCTCCTCCCCCTCCTCGTACTTGTAGCTGATGAGATCGGCCCTGGTGTCGTGGTAGACGGCGTGGAAGACCTCCCAGCCGCCGCGCAGCACACACACCCGCGGGCCGCTCAGCCCCAAATCCCGCAGCGTCGCCGCAAACCGCCCCGCCGCGCGCGGCCCCCGCACCTGCGAGAGGGCGCAGTGGAAGACCGCCACCGCCACGCCGTCCCGCTGCAGCCGCTCCGCCAGCGCCACCAGCCGCGGCGTCGAGAGGGCCGCCGCCGGGAAGTGCAGCGAGCGGCAAATGTGCCCCGCCCGCCGGTCCTCATCTCGGCAATCCACCACCGCCACCTTCTCAACATTATTGTTAGTATTATTATTATCACTATTATTATTATTACTGTCGAGGAGGGCCACCAGCTCTGCCGGCTCCATGTACGTGTAGCTCGCGCCGTTCATAGGCGGTGTGGATATATGTATGTATTTATAGGTATGTATATATGTATAGGTATATATGTATTTGTGTACTAAACTGGGAGCCATCAGAACAAGAGAAAAAGGAAAAAAATGAGGAAATGGTAGTCGTTGGCACCCCTACACACATATACAAGTAATCAAATTACAATACAGGTCGGAATATAAATAATAATGATAATAATGAATAATAATAAAAGAAGTTTCACAGGTGAGTAGGAGCGCACATTCAATTTTTAAAAGAGGATACAAGAAAGATTCAAAGAAAAAAAAGACCAACGAACATATGAAAACGAAAAAAAAGGGTCCCATATTCATATCGTTTCGTTGTTGTTTCTTGTTTTTTTGTTTCCATCGTATTTTAGTTTTATTTTTTCTTTTGATCCTTTCGCAGCATCATCGCCTTTTAATTTACTGTTTTCCTTCATCAAACCAGCAACGTCTTTATGCAGTAAAAAAAAAACAAGCAAAAAGAAAAGAAAAAAACAGCAACCAAGCAAAAGAAAGCACACGCACACACGCACACAGACGGATATTATATATATTAACATATATAATATATATAAACAGTATGAAACAACGATTATCCCATCAACCTCAAATAATAATAATAAAAATAATAATAATAATAATAATAATAATAATAATAATAATAATAGCAGCAACGGTAAAGATCTTCCTCATCTATTTCTTTCTTTTTCTTTCTTTCTTGTTGTTCTTCCTCTTCTTCTTTCTATTAATCACAGAAGATTCATAAGGGGCAAGGTGAATGTGGGTCGAATAGGCGGTTGTAATTCCTGTGATCCCTCCTCTGCTAGTGAACGTTGAATCTTTCGCTCCACCGCCACTCGCAGTCCTGCAAGATTCACTACAAACGCAGCAGCCACATTATACAGCATTTGATATGTATTCATAAGAAGACGGAATATGGGTTGTTCTTCCAACACACGAAACCCCATATAAAGTGTAGCCACAATCTGTGGGTAAAGCATGAGAAGCATGGGTCGAATGTGTTGAGCATAGTATGGAACGGCATAGGGTTGTATTGGAATCTTTTCTAAACTCTGCAAACGATGTTCACATTCTAATGTCCATAAGTGTTGAGTTGCGATATTCACATACCGTTGATGATAAGACTCTCGCAGTTTAAAACAATCCGGATCTGTTGTATATGGTGGGAGAGATGAACTGAGTAGTGTGGAGGAGTCATGCCCCATCATCTCGTTCCCACCATCACTTATTCCCTTTTGTGAATTTCCAGAGTTCTCTAAACGTGAAGGAATGGATGAAGTTCCCTCTTTTTCTCCTTCCGTGTTGATAGATACAGAACATCGCATCCGTTGTTGTTGACTTAACCTTGAGGAAAGTGAACTGCGAGACTTTTCCATTTCCACCTGTTGTGGTGTTCGCTTGAAATCATCTAATTTCCACTTTTGACGAGCCACGCGATGAAACATCTCTCGCATTTCTTCTTCTGGAAAAGGAAACTCCACACATTGATTTCCATTTCTCACAAACTCATCTATTGTCATTCGACTTGCCCGTGCATTCTCATTATGAAGACTTGTGTGTAGAAATAATAACACGCCTGCCATGGCGTTTGCATCCTTTGTAGTGATATGCCGTGGATTCTGCGCAGCGTAGGCCTCTCCAAATCGTTCTTGAATAACAGACCACACCTGCGCCTCAAAGGTTGGGCGATCCCACGACATAAACTCACAGGTGGTATCTCGTAAGGCAATATCAATAGGAACACCCACATATTGAAAGTGAAGGAAATATTCTTTTAAGATACGATCACAGTCAGGATCTTTTAAGACTCGTTCAAAGATCATACATAGTGCGGAACGGTCTACTCTGGGATATGTTTTAAGAAACTTTGCAAAGACAGTCCAACATCCTTCTTCTTCTGTTTGTGGAATAAATCCACGTTGTTGAAGTAATTGCATTCCCTCTCTCCAATGTCCTCGGTTAATATATTGTAATGCCTCCTGTGCAATACGTTTATTTTGTAAAAGACAATGAATATGTTTCCAATGGTATCCAATATAGCCACGTTTTCCTAATGCCCTTTTAGAACCAAATCCCTCATCTAAAAGAGAAGAAGAAAAACTTAAATCATCTGATAACATCTCAGATACCGCACTACTTCTTTCACTTTCTTCAGATTCCCAGTTGTCAAGATAGACTTGATGCCATCGACTTGATTTTTGATGATCACTATTACCAACTGTGCTGATGACTTGTCCTGCTGCTTTTCGCACCTGTTGTGCCGTATACTCATGTGGATCCTCCACCACCCATCGCTGCATAGACTCTACAAAATTATGCATAACACTTACACATTCACTACGAAGTAATTGTTGTTGATCAGAAGAAATCCATTCTGGATCATAGACGTCGGCAAACATCATTTCAACAATAAAATCTATTATGAGTTCCAGCATACCACCGTATTTGGCTCCTGAATCAAAATTTGGATTACAATCATAATTAATAAAGAAAGAAACACATAAATCTGGAATACTGACAATTTCACGTACCATACCAATAACTGCATGTTTTTGAGAGAAACTTGAGAATTTGGATACGGCAAGAGGAAATAACATGACTGCTAGTAAAACGTGTACTTCACGGGCTAAATGATGGTGACATTTCCGTAGTAAAAGTGTAAGAATTCGAACACTAATAGTGAAAAAGCAAGAAGGAATAATAGTCGCTAAGTTTCGAGCAATACATCTAAGAATATCAAATTTTGTTGCAGTAAGTACTATATAAAGCCACGTTGCACAGGAATGATCCACATCACAGTTCGCCAACGGAAGTTCTTGGAAAATAGCTTCTAACATCTCAAGTGCTAATTGTCGAGCTCGTACTTCCGGATTTCCCTCATTCGTAGATCCTGATCCACTGCATGTTCTTGTAGCTAATTTACATGTATGTTTAATAAGAAGCAATAAATCTTTTGCTGCATTAGGTAAATTCTCAGAAACTTGAAATCCTAATAATGCACTTTTTATTAAACTCTCATTTAGACTACTTCTAAAAAAGTCAAATGTATGTAATGATCCAGATGATAATGATGTCTGTCGAGGTAGATAGGATTTGGGTTGTACGTTGGGTACACTACTGGTACTACATAAAGGATCTGGAGAAGCATCACCCCCCATTTCAGAATCTTCAGTATCCCCAATATCAATAGGTGTATAATTCGCATCTGGTTCAACATCATGTAAGTAATCCTCTAATACAGTAGAAGAAGTAAAGGTGTGGAGTGGAGACTTTGGGGGTGTTGTCTCTACAAAGGCTCTTGTTACTCTTAAAACACAGAGTAAGAGTAAATCACGACTGTTAGCGCGTAAAACTTCATTTGAGGTTTGTAATGTGATTTGACAACACAACTGTACACAACGAGTAACACATTTCCCTGTAAAGGATGGGAAAGTAACATCACTCACAACATCATGAAGAATACCAACACCTTTCATCTGCAACGTTGGATCCGATATTTGTGCTAGACATGAACTAAGGGCATGAAATAAAGCCTCTCCACAGTGCACAGCTATTTTATTTCTTTGTGGTTGATAAAGAATAATAGGTGCATCATACGGAATACAGGCATAATCCATCATTTCTTGTAAAGTAGAAAATACCGTCTCTATAAGTCGAGTCTTTTTTACGTAAAAAACGCTAAGAACAGCTGACATGATGGGTGGAGTAACATATTCTACATGATCCCCAAGGCAAGCGTGTGTCCACTCATCCACTGTTGCTTGTGCGTGTTTAACCGTCTCTTTAAACTCCGGATCCATCAGCACACTATTACTGCCACTAGCCCCACTACTATTGCTGAGTCCACCAACACTACTGCCGCTGCCGCTATCGGTCCGTTTAATCAACTTTAAAAGGGTAGCAAGTGATTTAAGGGGAACTCCCATTATTCCGTTGTTTCCACCACTATATATATATATATATATATATAGAGAGAGAGAGAGAGAGATCTGTTAATGGAAATGAATAACGATATTAAGATTTCTGTATTACTTGTAATTCCAAGGAAGAATTACAAAATAATTAAAAAGAAAAAAGAAAAAAGAAAAAAAAAAGCAGAAATATGAATAGTATAATAATCAAGAGAGAAACGCAAAGTTTTTTTTTTTTTTTTTGTTTTCACACTCTTCTTATTCTCTACAGAGGTATAAAAAAAATTTTAATCTTTTTTTTTTCCCCCTTCGTACAATGTGACAATTGCACGAACGAAATCTAAACCAAATGATATTTGAAATTTAAAACAATATATATATAACTTGGATACAATAATGGTACACACTTATCTAATGTTTAGCAATATTGCCATACTTCGTTAATAACTCCATAGTCTTTTCCCAAACCTCTTCTTCAAAAGACTCTTCATGCTGTAAAGCAGACTCAGATTCACTTTGTACGGAATGCACTATTGAAGGCCTTGCAGAAGGTAAACCTACGCCTGAAGTTGCACTCATTACTGCTGATGTTTCCAATCCCTTTCCTCTATGTTGTTTAGTAGAGAAAGGAGATGTGACAAAACTTTGATTAAGTCCAGACACTCTACTATTCTTCTTCTTCCCATTAGAGCAAACCGCCAGCAGATTTGGCACAAAATGCGATTCATCCAATACAAGCCCATCTCTCATTACATCTTCCATTTCTACTTGTACACCCTTCATCACTCGACCACTTCTTCGTCGCTCCTCCGCCTGTTGTTGCTGCCGTACACACCGCTCAAGCTCTGCAATGCGATGATCCCGCTGTTTGAGTACATCCGCCGCTCGCTTTATCACCGCCGCCTCAAACTCCGCACCGCGACGCTCAAGACTTGCCTTGAGACGCAAACACATGGTGGCGTGATCACTGCGGGCCTCCTCCAACTGTGAGCGAAGGGATGTCGCCTCATCGCGACTCTCAGCGAGAAGCCGGGTGTACTCCGCTAAAGCCCGCTCATGCACAGTAGCTCGCAGTTCATCGCCTTCAGCAGCGGCAACGTGAAAGGCGTGGAGTTCATCACGCAGCGCACGAATCTCTGTTTCGTAACGCTGCGCCATTCGCAATCGTTGATGTTCACTCGCATTTAATTCCTCTCGCAATTCCCGTCGTGCAGCCTCACGTTCCTGTTGGAGGTAACGCACTTCATTAATATAGTGTCCAACGTAGTCTGCAACAAGAGAGGCGAGGTGCTGTGCGAGTCCTTCAAACCCACGCCGGACGGATTCTCGCACTATTGTAGGCACATCATCATCCGCTTCCACACGTAGTAGATCCGCAAGGACAGCATCGGATGCCTCAGTTAAGAGAGGTTTGCACTTTTCAAGCATTATTTTTGTAATACCAGAAAGATCACCTCCCATCATCGTTTTTGTGGATATTTTGGAGGATATTATGGCATTATTATCTTCTACCATTATTCCTTCCTTTTCTTCTTCATCTTCTTCTCCTTCTCCATTCTCTCGGCTTTGAATGTTGTTCTTATTACTCTTCACCATGTTGATACCTTTTCCAACATTAAGAGGACGACCAGAGAGTGCAGCCATTGCAGCAGGTAACATTGATAAATCAACACCTTCTAAAGCTATAGCTTCACGAAGCTGTTTTAAAGCTAATTTAGCTGTCTCTGCTTCTTCTTTGTATCGAAGAATTTCAGCTTCACTCTTATTACGATGTGCTTGCACAATGACATCTACTTGTGCAAGAACATCATTCATGTAGCGTTCTCGTTCTTCTTGACTAACAAAAGCCCCTGAAGCGACTAGTAAATCATTTACCCCATTTCTGTCGCCACCAGAAATAACTCTCTGAGTATTACTAACGACAATGTCTGCCAATTGTTTACGTTCATCTGCCTGAATTTGTTGTTGCTTGAATTCTTCTTGAAGTTTAATAACGTTTTGGCGAAGAAAACGATTCTGTTCTTCCATATCTAAAATGTATTTTGCTACTTCTTTGGGTAGCTGTGGTAGATTATCAGGTTCTTTCTTCTTTTCCATTTCAACATCTATCATTCTACTTTGACTTGAGGAACAGTCCACACCGTTGGTAGGTATCACACGAATACTACCACTACCACCACCTGATTCCTGCTGCGTGAGAGAACGCATACGTCGATAGGTCGATAATTTGTCTAATGTATCTGGACGTCCGAATTGTTGTCCGCCTACACCATTCACCATGTTAGAGTTTTCTATATTTGAATTATTACCTACATTACCATTATGAAGGTGCTTAAACCGTTCATACTCGAGTAAGCATTTGGGTTGTTGAAGTGAAGATCCCGGTACCGGTTGGTCGACAGGTGATGGTTCTCTCGTACGAGTGCCAAATGGGGGTGGAGGTGGTTGTAACAGTGGCATTGCAGGTGTGAAAGAACTATTAAAACAAAAAAAAACAATCTAAAACACTACTTCTGGCGTCTGTGAAGCAAAAAGAATTCACAGACAAAATATAGAGAGAGATAAAGAGGAGTCCCTATTTACAATGATTGGTCAGTTTATATTAGAAAAAAATAAAATGGAAAATAGGAAGGAAGAAAAAAAGAAAAAAAGAGAGAACAAGAGAACACATGGAAATTCCTACGCTCAAGTAAGTATGTATGAGATGAAAAGCACTATATATATAAAAACTTCTTTTTTTTTCGTTCACTTGATTGGTCCATATATATATATATATATATATATATTTGTATTCGTAGCATCCTCAGCGAATTCGCTTTTTTTTTTCTTTGTACTGTCAAGTTCCCCCACTCAAAAAGGATTACTAAACTGCCAAACTCTCCAGAAAGTAGGCGAAGCTTGTGGAACACATTTGGAGGGCGGAAAAAGATCCGCCCTCCACAAAAGACAACCAAGCACGATGAGGGGAATGCGCCGATAGACGCACGTAAAATTCGAAAAAAAAAAAAAAACCCTTCGTGCTTTCGTTCTTTATTCTGTCAATTTTTTTGCACTTCGCTGATTGTATTTTGTTTTGTTTTTGTTTGTTTTTTGTTGTTGTTCATTTTCTTCATTTATACACCTCACAACTCAGGAACGCCAAGCTCTCCATCAGTCAGTTTATCATCAGAGGCTGAAGAAGAAAAAAAAAGACAAAAAAAAGGGAATGTAATGTCTTGTTAGAGTAAGATATTTGTGATCTTTCAAAAAGTGGTAACTTACAGCAACCTTCAAATGACTTTCCTCATCACCTCTCTCTCTCTCTCT